CTGCCCCTCCCCTGCTTGCTCTCTGTCTCTTTCTCAAATAATAATAATAATAAAAATGGTTTTTAATTCAAAAAAAAGTCATAGAAATAGACACCTCCCACACTAGCCACTCTTGTTTCATATTATCCTCTCGTGGTTTGAATCTGGTTATCCCAAACCATCTCACTGATTTGTTTCATGCTATCTCCTGCCCTGGAACTTCAGCTCCAGGAGAGGGGGGATCTTTGTCTTGTCTCCCTGGGGTCCTCGGCACCCTAGAACGTTCCTGGGACACAGCAGACACTCAGGAAATTTTTGTTGAATGAGGAATAAAGACAAGGAAACAGAGACCCAGAAGGTGATTTGTCCAAGGTCCTAGAATTTGGCCCGGCCAGATTTCCCATACCTCTGAAGCTTTTCCAGCGTCTTCCAGATATTTCAAAATTCAGAAAACTCCCCATGTGCGGGCAGGCTGTAAGCAATGCATTTCACATGGCTGTATTTCATGAAACGTGACAAGGTGCGGACTGTGAATGACCGAACCTTGCATTTCAGGATTCGTGTGGATGACGAACTGGTGTGAGTTAAATATAAAATATAACCTAAGAGGCATAATCCCCGCTCATTCCTGCTCTCCCTGCCCCCACCTCACCTCTTGCCCAGGCCTCTCTCCCACCCTGTCCCATGACCTAATTAATGAATCATCTGCCCAAATTACCACGTTAAGCATGCATCTCTCAACCTCCGTGGCCTCAAATGCTTCTCACTGCCCTGGAAATAGTTTCCCTCATTTGAAGGGCATGCCAAGGCCTCTCGGGTGTCCATCCTGATCTTCTTTCAGCCTTCCAGGGTTCCACACGTGTGCCCCGCCCTTCAGCCCACCTCTCCCTGTCCCCACCTCAGTGCCTCTCCTGCCATGCACAGTTGGGCAGTTTGAGGTTCAAAGAAAAATCGAGCGGAACGTACAGAGATTTCCCACATACCTCTGTCCCCCTACAGTCACGGCCTCCCCACCATCAACATCCCCACCAGAGTGGTGCATTCGTTACAATGGAGGAACCTGCGCTGACACGTCATCATCACCCAGCGTCCATAGTTGACATTACGGTTCACTTTCCGTGTTGTATGATCTCTGAATCTGGACAAAGGTATGACATGTAGCCACCGCTACGGTAGAACATGGAATCATTCCACGGCCCTAAAAAAACCTCTGGCCTCCGCCCATTCACCTTGCACCCCCCGACCCCCCCACCCCCAAATCCCTGGCAACCACTCATCGCTTTACCATGCCCATAGATCTGCCCCTTCCAGAATGTGACACACACAGTTGGAAGTGTGGAATAGCTTATTAATACGCATTTATGGTTCCTGCAGGTCTTCTCATGGCTTGAAAGCTCATTTCTTCTTAGTACGGATATTCCATTGGCTGGATGGGTCAAGGTTTATTTATTCATTTGCCTGCTGAAGGACACCTTGGTTGCTCCCAGGTTTGGGCTGTTATGAATAAAGCTGCTATAAACATCCGCCTGCAGGGTTTTTAAAAAAAATTTTTTAACGTTTATTTATTTTTGAGACAGAGAGAGAGCTTGAGCGGGGAAGGGCAGAGAGAGAGACAGAATCCAAAGCAGGCCCCGGGCTCCGAGCTGTCAGCACAGAGCCCGACGCGGGGCTCGAACTCATGAACCGTGACATCATGCCCGGGGCCAAAGTTGGATGCCTAACCGACCGAGCCACCCAGGTGCTCCCTTTTGTTCGTTTGTTAATTGGGTCGTTTTGTTGTTGAGCTGTAGGGGGGGTCTTTACGTATTTTGGATGCTAAACCCTTGTCAGATGCAGGATGTGCAAAATATTTGCTCCCAATCCATAGGTTGTCTTTTCATTCTCTCGAGCGTGTCCTCCGATGCGCGGTAGTTTTTGATTTTTCTGAGATCTTTTCTAAAGATTTTTCTTTTACTGCTTGCGCTTTTGGTGTCGCATGCAAGAGATCATTGCCAAGTCTACTGGCATGAAAGTTTACTTCTATTTTTTCTTCGAATAGTTTTATAGCTTTAGCTCTTCCTTTTACACCTTTGCTCCAGTTTGAGTTCATTGTTGTACGTGGTGAAAGTAAGAAGTGTCCAACTTTATCACTGTGCACATGGCTATCCAGTTTTCCCAACACCATTTGTTCAAAACACTGCCCTTACCTTATTGAATGGTCTTGGCACCCTTACGAAAAATCATTTGACCGGACCTGCGTCGTTTATTTTGGGCTCTGTATCCTAGTCCATTGGTCTATGTCCGTCTTTATGCCAACACCACACTGGTTTTGTTGTTGTTGTCGTTTTTTGTCTTAAGTTTCTTTCTTTATTTTGAGATAGCACGGGCAGGGGAGGGGCAAAGAGAAAGGGAGAGAGAATCCCAAACAGGCTCCGCGCTGTCAGCTCGGAGCCTGATGCGGGGCTCAAACTCATGAACCGTGAGATCGTGACCTGAGCCGGGATCAGGAGTCAGACTTTTAACCAGCTTGAGCCACCCAGGCACCCCAATACCACACTATTTTGATTACCGTGGCCTGAAGGGAAAGGAAGGGAGCAAGAAGGAAAAACGATGTAGT